TATAACTTTTGCGGGGTGGGGCAAGGCAGGTTTAGATATTCTTTAATAAAAATCATGCAGTGCAGGGCAACTGGTTTGGGATAAGCCCAATGCTAAATCGCTAAGCTATTTTTGCTACTTATCTTTGGTTAAGAACCTTTAGGCAAGAAAATCCAGCTATCATATACTTACCTGATCAATCTTTTGTTTTTGTTTTATTAGTTTAATCCCTCAACTTATTCTTAAAGAATCAATAATTATTTTTCTTTTGCCATTGTGTTAGGTTAAGTGAGAATCAATTGTTTAGCTATTCTTTTTTTTTTTTATAATCGAGAAATCCGTCTGTGACCCACCCTTTGGACCAATCACAACCTTCTAAACTCGGTGGATAATGGATCCGCCCCTCTATCATTCTCCACTTAAATACCGGGCTTCGCTTTGCGTGGTGTGGAGATTGGTAAGTTAAGGTTGGTTGAGGATTACTAAATGTCATTTATGATTTATGAATTAGAGCTTTCCATCATTATTTAATTACAAGTTTAATTTTCAATTATGGCAACTAATTGAAAATCCTAGTATTTTCTAACTTTACTTCTTTGCTATTAATTGTTCTTTTATAAACAATTCTCTTCTGAATCTTCATTTCATCACTCTTTTTGTACATATTCAAATAGTTTTTCTAAACTATCAAATACTTGTCTTTTGATGCAATGTTTTACAGCTATTGCATTAGTGATGTTTTTCTTTGATAGAATAATTTATCAGTCATTCAAAAAGAAGTCTTTAAAAAGGAAAACAATAATAAATTATGTGGGACGGGTTTGGGCGCTGCTGGGCAGGTTGAAAAGAGAAAATCATGCTACATTCTTTCTTTTCTTAAAGAATGTCAATCACAATCACCCATCAAGAAACTAACCGTCATGAATGTCAATCACATTCACCTATCAAGAAATAAGGTTCGTTGATAATTGAGATACACACAATAGTGCTAAAGAAAAGTTAAAGAGAACTGCACAATTCATTTTCCTACTTTGCCTACTTAGAAGTTTTCTTTTTGACTATTGTTCTGTCGATATTAAAAGACCGACTTCAGTTTGAACTTCAATCTCCCTTATGTCAGGTCTTCTCATTGTCTTCTATATCTGCTGAATTTAACCCTATGATTTATACGTTTTAAATAATTCACATATATATCATATAATTGCAGTATGTTGAACAAAACTATTTTACCATTATTAAGCTACATTATCATAAGCCATTGAACTGCTACTAGGAAATAATAAACAACCAAGTCTCAGCTCCAAACAAGTTGGGGTGCATTTATATTACAAAGATTACATTATTTGCTTCGTTCAAATAAGAGCAAGACTTGTTCAGACTTCGTCTATTTCACAGAATGATCTTTATTATTTCAATTCCTTTTATCTGTTCCGTTTCTGAATTCTCATATCATTCAATTAGGAAACAGCAGCACTTGAAACATCAAACTAAGCAAAACAGAAAAACAAAAGCTAACTTCTTTTCTTTTTGTAAGGGAATCCAATTCTTTTTTATAACCGTGGTATCCGTGACAGCTAGCATACCTCGATAAGTCCACGGGGTACCTGCTACCTTGCACCAGCACACATACCGGATAACTCTGTCCACCAACGCTTGGACAGATGGGAAAAATTCAACTTAATGTGGAACTCGAACTTGAGACCTAAGGGCAACCGAATTCTCATACAACAACACCAAAGCTAGAGTACAATTAGACTACCGAAAGATTAGTTTCACGGGCATATCAACTTACCTACTCTGGGTCAACTATATGAATCATTTGTATCCATTCTGCTTTATTTGGGGCAAATGTTGTCCCCAAAAGGAACACACAATAGATCTTTTGATGTACCTATAAACCAATCTAACAGGCATATCAATCGATCAACTACGCTTACTTGGGGTCGACTATGTGAATCATCTATATCCATTGTTCTGCTTTATTTGGGGCAAATTTTGTCCCAAAAAAGAACACAAAGTAGAGCTTTTGACCTATAAATCAAGGCCATCTAAGTTCTAACAGGCATATCAACCAATCAACTAGCTTACTTTGGGTCGACTATATGAATCATCTATATCTATTCTGTTTTAGTTAGTCTGTCTTTATTTTCATTCTCGTCTATTTAAAAAGGAATGCTTCTTTCCTTTTTTTGACGACTCTTATAACTTTCCACGTGACATGGGGCATTTTATACATTTTGTATACCTAAGTCTCTTTTAGCTTCTTAAACTTTGTAACAAATCAAAATCAAACAAACAAATTGAAACATATGGAGTATACAATAGAGCTTTTCTAACATACCTATGAACCAAGGCCATCTAACAGGTTTATCAGGAGCTTCTTTCGTCAAGTTCCTGAATCTATCCGGCATTGTGCTCTCTCCACGAACATCAATTTCAGCTTTATCAACATTGTTTCCATAATCTACTCCACTACTCTCAGCTTTCGCAATAAACCCATTTTTCCTACTTAATTGAAATCCACAATTACTACCGAAAAGCCTGGAATAATTGTGTTTCAATTCAAGTTTGAGAGGCTTAATTCTGGCTATAGAGAAGGGAAATTCAAGAATCTGACTACGAGGGCAAGCATTTAAAGGAAAGTTTGAGGATATTTTATGGGTTTTCTTGAGAAATGGGGTTGAAGATAAGAGAGCTGAGAGGGTAATCACCATTGTTATGGAAGTCGGAGAGGTTAAAGTTCAGAGTTTTAGTTCCGCCATTACCAGAAAATTGCTCACTCGGAAGAGTGGGAGGTTTTGCAAAAATCGGTAACTCGATGAACCCAACCCGCAATCAATTCATACAAAATGGGAAGTTATTGGTTGTGGTTTTAGAGTTTAGGGTACAGAGATAAGTGATTTTCTTATTTATCATTTTTTTTCAAATTACAAAAAATTCTTAAAATTTAAGGATTTCGAATACATCACTCAATGATACATCACCTCGATTTCGGGTACATCACTCAACGTCTTGATACAACACTCCCACTTTTGAATACATCACGTTCCAATACATTACTTTTGTTGATGCAAGACGCACCTACTTGATACATCACTTAACGTCTCGTTACATTACCTTTGTTGATACAAGACACACGTGTCTCGATACATCGCGTAAGAGTGATGTATCCGAGAATATGATGGAGTAGGAATTTTTGTATTTTTTTTTAAATGGTCGATAATTTTGGAGAATATGATAAAATAAATTGTATATTTAGATAATTTTTGCTTTATTTATTGTGTTTGATATTATGTAAGTAGAAAATATTATTTTAAAAATAGTTATATTTTATTTAAATAAATACTAGAAATTGAAAGTGAGAGTAGGGGTGATAGGGGACGAGGGCTATGGTGTTAGAGATGGGGTGGGAGAGGATTAAAGGGTGGGGTTGAGATAGTCAATGTGAAATACTATTTGTAAAATTTATTTAGCAATTTTTGCTTCGTTAAAAAAGGATTAGGAGTTAGAAAGAATGGTTTTATGCGTATTGTAAAGAAGTTGTTTATTTCTCTTTATCTTCTTTCGATAGCCTAATCTTCTCATTTCTATTTTTATTTTTATCCTTAGTTATTTATTATTTCAGTATTTTTATTGTAATTCAATAGTTAAATGTTGTCGTTATAATTTGATTATCGGTGATTATATAATAATGGGGTAATTGTGTCAAGAATTTGGATTTGTTACATATATGATACTTTTATTAGTCCTAAAATTAATGTTGAAATTTTAATCGCTAAATGAATAAGAAATGTTTAACCATATGGTATTTAAAATCGACCAACTCAATTAATTCAAATTCGCATCACATAGAGTCCATTAAAGAGAAATGCACCCTTACCTGAATTTTTTCTTAAGTTTCTTACTCAATTTTTTATTCATTAGACTATTTGGTGTTTAAAATTCACTAAATCAATTCATTTGAATTCACACGGCATAGATACATTAAGAGGAAGTGTCCCCTTTCTTAAATTACTTCATTCCAAAATTCAAACTCTATTTTTTTTGTTCAATCATCCCGTATTTAAAAATATATTAACTCAATTAATTTGACTTTACATCATATAGAGTTCGTTAAAAGAGAAAATACACCATGCTCAAAAATTCGACTCAACTTTTTTTTAAAAATCTCTTGTATTTAAAACCCTTTAAATGAATTAATTTGAATAAACACTACATATGATCTATCAAAAGGGAAATGCAACATATCCAAAATTCAGATTCAAAATTTTAATTAAGAAAATATCTTGTCATAGAATTCTTGAATTCAACTTGAAGTTAAATTTTTGAATTTTTAAGAACTTGAAAAATAATAACAAATTTGTTTCTACTTTTTCTCTATCCAAAATTACTCATAAAAAGTAAAAGAAAAAAACAACTTCAATTTATATCCATAATTGAACATGATTCAAATTTTTAAATATTTTTTTTCTTGTAAAAATAGAAACAACTTTCTTTTTTCAAATTCACAATATAACATAATCACGCCAGCTAAATATTTGAAAATGTCTTATTCATTCCATCACACTCTCTGGCTATGGAGTTTTTTTTTATAAAGAAAAGCTGGAACTACCACCTTTTTGTTCCTTTGGAGGGAGCATTCACAATCTCAAAGTTAGAAGTGCTTACTATCCGATCAACTCTCATCGGAGTAATAAGCACATTTGTGTGTTTCATATTATTCATTTAGAGGTTGTTTTTTTCTTATTAGTTGTATGGTTTGTCAAATATGCATGAAATAATTTCTAAGAATAAGTTTTTTATTTATAAAAAATACCCTCTAAAAATAAGTTGTTTATTTATAAAAAAAGATTTAAGGGGGTACTTTTAATATTTTATATTTTTATTCTTGGACAAGTTATCCCGCGATTAGTATTCCACCCACAAGTAAGGATAACATATGTTAGTCATATTTATCAATCCTGGATAAGTTACCCAAGGTACTAAAAACTTATTCCAAAATTATTTTTCTTTATCCATCATATTAAACGATCCGCATTGATATCCAAACGGTATATATATATATTCAAAACAAGGCGGCAAAAAGCACAAAGCAATGAGTTATTTTTCTTCAAACTTCCAACGTTTGCTTTCTTACACAAAACTCTTAACATCTCATGTCAATCAAGGCAAACATGAACAAGCCCTTTCTCTTTTCCACCAAATCCATTCAACTCTCTCCCATTCACTCGACCCCTTCGTGTTCCCTCTCGCCCTTAAATCTTGCGCCGCGCTGAGTTTCTCTCAGCTCGGCGCAACCATTCACGCACACACAACCAAAGCCTCTTTCATTTCCAACCCCTTTGTCGCTTGTGCATTAGTTGACATGTATGGGAAATGTGTCTCCGTAGAGTACGCACGCCAACTGTTTGATGAATCTCCGGAGAGAAATGTAGTCGTTTGGAACTCGATGATCTCTGTTTACGCACATTGTAATGATGTTGGGAGGGCGTTGGAGTTGTTTCGAGTGATGGATGTGGAGCCTAATTCTTCTACTTTTAACGCGATTATCACGGGGTTGGCGGACACGGAGGATGGGTTTAGTAGGGCTGTTTTGTGTTACAGAGAGATGGGGAGGATGGGGTTGAAGCCGAATTTGATTACGGTTCTTGCATTGTTACGTGCTTGTCTTGGTACGGCGGATGTGAATTTGATCGAACAGATTCATGGGTATTCGATAAGGAATGATATTGATCCAGATCCTCAATTGAGGAGTGGATTAATTGAGGCTTATGGGCGTTGCGGGTGTCTTGAGAAAGCTCATCTTGTGTTTCTTAGTATGAGAAACAGGGATGTGGTTGCTTGGAGTAGTTTGATATCAGCTTACGCGTTTCACGGGGAGGCAAGAACTGCACTTGAAGTTTTTGAGCAAATGCAGAAGGCTAATGTCAGGCCTGATGGAATTACTTTTCTTGGGGTTTTGAAAGCTTGTAGTCATGCTGGACTACCTGATGAAGCACATATGTACTTTTCTCGTATGAGAGTTCGTTATGGTGTTGAAGCAAGCAGTGATCATTACGCTTGTTTGATAGATGTATTGAGTAGGTCAGGAAGATTGCATCAGGCGTATGACGTTATTAGGAAAATGCCAGTGAAAGTGACTGCGAAAGCTTGGGGAGCACTACTTGCTTCTTGTCGAACTTATGGAGAAGTCGAGCTGGCAGAAATAGCTGGAAGAGCTTTATTTGAAATAGAGCCTGAGAATCCTGCTAATTTTGTGATTTTGGCAAGAATTTATTCTAGTAATGGGCGATTTGAGGAAGCGGAAAGACTCAGAAGAGAGATGATCAAGAGGGGCATGAAAACATCCCCGGGTAGCAGCTGGGTAGTACATCAATATTGACTTATCCTGGTTCTTTTGGCTGGTTCAGGTGACAATTCACTGAAATTTCGACGTCAATATTGTACTGAGGCGTCTTTAGAGTATGGAAGAAACAGAAAGTGATAGACCCCAGTAACAATCATGCTAGAAAGATTCAATAGTTTTCTTGTTATACATAAAAATGATTGAAACAGAGATGTCTATTGTGAAGTTCCATGTAATTTGAACTCGAGCTGTATTTGCTTTTGGATAGTGATGTTTGCCCTGACGCTAAAACTTAGATGGGATTGTTTCTGTTGCATGCTTCAGCTCTAATAGACGGACATTGGACTAAAGGATAGTATTTCTATGTTCCAGTAGCATGACCAGCTTTAATATAGATGCTCAATTAAACTCTCAGACAGTCAAGACTGTTGATAGTGAACCAAGTGAGAAGTATGTAAATTCTGCCTATCAAATCACACCCCTAGTTGCAGCTTCAATTGTGATTATTCGTCTTCTGTGATTGTGTTCGTCATCAAATTAGATATTCACATTCATTGAGTTCAAGTGAAGTACGTACCTATCTCGTTTGGTAAGGCTGACTTTTATAGCAGCCTTTAGTGAAGCTGCTTCTAGCCCTAATTCCTTGATTGAGTCTCAATACACGTCCATTGGTGTATATATATTGACATTCAGTGAGCCTAAATGTGAGGTATCAGTGGCAGAAAAGAAATCAAGTCTTTCGAGTATGGATCGTTGTAAAAACATTTGATCGATATACAAAGAAGAGTAGCAAGTAGCAACATCATGTTAATTGGACTTAACATTCATACAACACTAGTTGAATCAGAATGGCCTTGAGCAATTTTTGAACTACGTTCCTTGAATCATATCGAAGAAGCTACTGTATTGAGTACTAGTAGCAAAATTGAGATGTATGTTGTTGCGATTTCCAAAACTCGTGAAATTAAAGAAGTGACTAAGTGAATATCTAAGTATAGCGGTGTTTTAGTTACAGAACTCCGCCAACATCAATTTTTTGTCGTACAATAAGGATGCCACACAAAATTGTCCAACTATCAAAAAGCTGAGGAAGTGGATGGGTGATGAACAACTCCCCGAAAACAACAAGAAGGCGATCTATGATCTCAGTCTAGGGACAGTAAACAAACTGCTACATGGAGCAATGTAGCATATGAAATCATGTAATGTAACTCGAAATCAGACTTTGTGTGACATATACTTGAAAAATATGCAACAAAATATTCGATCTATACAGTTAAGTCCTCATATAATAAGCTTAGGTTCAGCTTTTGAAATGCATCCATGTGGCCATGGCTGCAAATAGCTCAACCCATGATGCTTGTCTAGATCAAAATAATGATCTTTCTTGATCAAAAAAAGGTGACAACGTACTCAAACATATCAAGAAGGTAAAGGAGAACTATCCCTGCTTGTGTTGTTTAGACGATCTGGAGAGCATAGAAGACGTCTTGAAGACAAGGTCGCAACAATTCATACTAAGTATAGATCCTTGAGACTTTTGGCCCTTTGCTTCACTGATATTGTACATGCCCCTCTCTCTGTCTTACGCTATTGTACAGGGTCCATTACTAGCTTAATACTTAGTTTACAAAGCGAAGAATATGCACTTAGCTTGTTAAAAATAAAACAACTAGTGAGGGTTGAGCTAAATTAGGCATTATGCATTTACTTCATCATGCCATTTTCGACATCACAGAGAAGTATGAAAATTATGACTATCAAATCACACTAGAAGTAATGACATGGTAATTATGTGCACAACTGCATATGCAGCCAAATAGTCAGACAAGTGCAATTGATGAGACACATAACACCTTATTGCCCGATTTAGCAACCTTAAAAGGACGGATCATATTTAACTCAAAAAAAACAAAAACAATGAAACACGATCGAATAGTAACATCACAATAACTACAAGAAGATAATATGACAATCAACTGATAAAAATAAGAAATCCCAACAATTAAACTAAAAATACATCAAAAGGCAATAGGAGTACAGTAACAACTAATGTCACACAAGTAAATGGAAAACAAAAGTTCAACATTCAGAACATTATAATTATCAGATACCAAATTTGATAAAGCGTCTTTCACTTCCACATTACCTTGAAACAATCATGAACTTTGGTGAAATACCCTACCTTCTGAGCACATTCTTATTTATTGTATCAATAAATTCTGAAGTCCAGCTACTCATTAAGTCCATAAACCTCCATTCCTCCCAAGAACCCACCCGAACTGGCATTGTTCCGATTGAACAGAATAAGTGATTCCCTGTAATTCTGAACATAAAACAACGAAGAGACCCCTTGAATACCAAGACTCGTATTTCGTCCACTATTTGGGTCATAAGAAACAGGATCATTCCTTCTAGTTGAAAACAAAACTTCACCATTGTTCCTAAATCCAACTACTTTCTCCATACCTGCAACCAAATTTATATGATACAATCTACTCCAAGATTCCAAAACTCCATACTGCTTCATCACCCATACTTCACATGAATCACCACCTATCTCGCTCCCATACTTAACAACAGCAAGTGATTCCTCAAACAACATAATTGATAAATTTGTTGTAGTTACACCAACTAAAGCATCCGGCAACATAATCTCCCCAAACACCTCATCTGCTATACTAAAAGTTTTAACTAAACTCCAAAGGTCACCGCCATTCACAACCACATCAGACGCAATCCAATGTACAACTCCATTTACAAAAGCCTGAGGCGACAAAAACTTCACCATACAATTCTTAATCTCAACTCCTACCACTCTCCTCCAAACCCCACTATTAATCGAATAAATTTCAATCTCAGGAGGACCACTATATACGAACCCATCATTCATATGATACACAAGTTTAACCAACTTAAAGTCATCAGTCTCAGGCAAATCAGCACCAAATCCAAGAACACACATATGAGGCCACTGCGGCTTAATCAAAGGCATAGGAATACTTATAAACTTATGAATCGAAGGGTTCCACAGAACGAGACTCCGCAACTGACCAAGCACATCGTCATACAAACACACAATGCCATTGCAGCTACCAACAATTTTGAAATATCCTAGGTTCGATTTGAAAGGGAAATGTAGTTCCGATGTAAAATCTAAGGAAAATGGTCGATTCTTAGAGTCTTGAAACAATGAATAGTTCTCTCTTTTGCGAGTTCTATCGAAATGCCTAACAAGAAAGGTGTTGGAACGCGGGGTTTGGGCGAGATGAGCGGAGATGAAAGGAAAACTAGTGATGAGTGAATGCCATGATTTGCAGACAACTGTAAATCGAATTAAGGATTTAACAGGAAGTTTCAGTAGGATTTCTCTCAAAAGTTCAAAACAAAAGTAGGTGGAGACGGAATCAGTCATTGATCAATTTTGAGAGAAAGAGAGAGAGATAGGAAGAACCCTAGTTATGGAAGACATTTTGGTAAATTTGCTTTAAATATTGAGATGTCGGGGCGGGGCGGATATAGCTTTTGAGGGTCAAGGCGGGGCGGGGCAAGACATGTTTAGATTTATTAAATAAAAATCATGCAGTGTAGGGCGGGTTGCAGGTTTGGAATAAACCCAATGCTAAAATCGCTAAGCTATTTCTTTCACTTATCTTTTGTTTAGGACCTTTAGGCTAGAAAATCCAGAAATCATATACTAACCGGCTTAACCTTTTATTTGCATTTTATTAGCTTAATAATCTTATAACTTATTCTTAAAGAATCAGTAATAATGTTTCTTTTGTCCTTGTGTTATGTTAAGTGAGAATTACATTGTTTAGTTATTGTTGGGGGATCGCTTCAAGTCTATTTCCAAATATGGGTGAATTTATAAAGTAATTATGTGGTAAGTTAAGGTTGGATGAGGATTAAGATATGGTATTTATGATTTATGAACTAGAACTCTCCATCATTATTTTATTACTAGTTGAATTTTCAATTATGGCAAATGATTGGAAAACTGTCTCCTCCTCAAATATTTTCTAACTTTACTTCTTTGTTATTAATTGTTCTTTTGTAATAAGTGTTAGCCCCTAAATACTTCTAAATTAGTTTTAATAATGACAACTAACCAAAAGTAAATTCGTAGGAAAAGAAAGAAAGAAACACATAGGTGAAATTCACCCAAGGACAAAAAGGACAGAAGATAAGCCATAATTAATCAAGGGTTTATAATACAAGGAAGAACATTCAATTGAGCTAAATTGAGCATTATTCATTTCCCTCATCACATGCCAATTTCGACATTAGGGAGAAGTATGGAATCTTTTTTTTTTATGACCGTGGTGTTTGGACCAACTTACGTACACCTCGATACCTTCCACCTTCTACCACGTATGGAAATTCCACCTTATCAAATCACACTAGATGCAATGAGAAGGTAATAATGTGCGTACAGCAAATAGTCAGGCCACTACAACACCTTATTGCCTGCCAACTTTAGGTGAAAGGGGGTGCCGGATTTGGTAATCTTAAAAGGGCTAAACATATTTAGCTAAAAAAAAAAACAATGAAAACAAGCTGATAGTAAAATCATAGTAGCTACAACAAAATAATAGGATACTTGACGGATAAAGACAAGGTCCATTGCTTGATTAGGATAAGGTTTCAAAATAATAAATTGGAAATACATCAAAAAGCAACAAGATTACACTAACAACTAATGTAACACAAAAAGTGATTCCATGTAATTCAACATTCAGTAAAATACCTTCTGATCAAATAGCTCTAAACAAGGTCTACCAAATTTGATAAAACATCTTCCACTTCCACTACCTTGAAACAACCATGAACTTTGGTAAAATGTCTTGCCTTCTGATCACATTCATCTTTATTGTATCGATAACTTCTGTAGTCCAGCTACTCATTCAGACCATAAATCTCCCATTCATTCCAACAACTCACCAGAAACGACACTGTTCCCTTTAAGCAAAATAAGTGATTCCACGTAATTTTGAACATAAAATGAGCGAGAGCTCCCTTGAATACGAAGACCCCTATTTCGTCCACTATTTGGATCATACGAAACCAGATCATTGTTCCTAGTTGAAAACAAAACTTCACCGTTGTTCCTAAATCCAACTATTTTCTCCATACCTGCAACCAAATTTATATGATACAATCTATTCCAAGATTCCAAAACTCCATACTGTTTCATCACCCATACTTCACATGAAGCACCATCTATCTCCCTCTCATACTTAACAACAGCAAGTGATTCCTCAAACAACATAATCGATAAATTTGTTGCAATTACGCCAACTAAAGCATCCGGCAACATAATCTCCCCAAACACCTCATCCGCTATACTAAAAGTCATAACTAAACTCCGAAGGTCACCACCATTCGCAACCAAATCATACGCAATCCAATGTACATTTCCATTTACAAAAACCTGAGACCACATAAACTCCACTATACAATGCTTAATCTCAACCCCAATCACTCTCCTCCAAACTCCACTATTAATCGAATAAATTTCAATCTCCGGAGGATCATTATACACAACATCATTCTTACGATATACAAGTCTAACCAACTTATAGTCATCAGATTCACCCAAATCAGCCCCAAATCCAAAAACAAACATATGAGGCGACTGAGGATTAATTGAAGGCATTGGTAAAGTTATAAATTTCTGAATAGAAGGGTTCCACAAGATAAGACTCCGCAACTCACCAAACAAATCATCTGACAAACACAGGATGCCATTGCAGCTGCCAACAATTCTGAAATACCCAAGTGGGCGCTTGAACGGGGAATGCAGTTCCGATATGAAATTCAAGTAAAAGGGTCGATTCTTAGAGTCTTCAAACAAGAAATAGTGTTCTCTATTGCAAGAACTGTCATAACGCCTAACAAAAACAGTGTCGGATTGTGGGGTTTGGGCGAAGTGAGCTGAGATGAAAGGAAAACTGGTGATGAGGGAATACCATGATTTGCAGACAACTGTGAATCGAATTAAAGATTTAGCTGGAAGTTTCAATAGGATTTCTGTCACAACTTCATGAGGAAAGTAGAAGGATTCAGAATCAGCCGCCATTGATTAATTCTGAGAGAGGAGAGACAGAAAGCGCAAAAGTGTGTTTTATTTAAAAGGAAAGTACAATAATTAAACCCTAAAAGCTAATTAATTAGTATATTTTTAACTCTAAACTTAATCCTATGATATCTTAATTAATCCAACGTATTAAATGATTCCTAAAGTATATTGCTTTAACTAGTACTCTTTTTGTTCCTATTTATGACACTGTTTAGCTAGATATAAAAATTTTTTGGTTTTGGTTCCTTATAAACTTGGTATTTAAATTGTAGATTCAATTTTAAAACTGAATATGATTTTACTAGTTTATATGGAGATTAAAGAGCGATAAAGAATTGGAATAATCTTCCAAAGAACTCGTTTTATTTGACCATGGGAAACAACCACTGAATAGAAGCAACATAATTGTATCATTCACTATGTAAATGGACAAAAAAAAGATTTATGTTGCTATAAAACCTCAAAGTTTATGTTTTTATGTGATCGCAACATCAAAAAAGGAAGTTTGAATTTTCTACGAAACTCTTGATGGCGAGTGTCCTTGTATCCATTGTTTCTGTCTATCAAAAAATCCCTGATTAATTTGATGAAGCCTATGTTCATCTCCAGCATTCATATAGCTAGTCTCTTCACCCAGGCAATTAATAAGGTCAATGAACATCTTCCTACTTGTGAGAAATGGATAAATCCATCTGTCTTATTCAGGATTATATGAAATGTCAATTGTTGAAGAGTTTCACGTCAAATAAAAAAGGGATGAGTGGTCACCTTTATTATGGTCTCAAGCAATCTTTTTTTCAAGAGCTAACTTTTGAGGTTGAGTTAGGTTCAAAATCCATTTCTAACAACAATATGTTAAAAATTTTGACAAGTTGCAAACTATAGTTGTGACATTTTAGTTTCTTTAACGGAACACCCACAATTGAAAAGATCAATCACGATCTTGATACCTTATCAACACTGTTCCAAAAGGGGTTCAAGCATTTTAGTCCATTCAATGTCTTTATCAACTAAGTCCAAATTCTTTAGCAAGCAGCTCAATTTTGTTAATTTTGAGTTAGCTTTCTAATATAATTCAAAAGATGAACTCGTCAAAATCATAATGACTCGAGAGTCCCGTGTGGAAGGATTTTCACTCAACAAATCAAAGGTGGGAGGGGAGGGGGGGGGGGAACATGTCGATGACTCCAAGAGCTCTTATCAATGATATTATTTGACACTTTGATGTTGACTCATTACATGGGTAGCAAAAGGTCCTAATCTCGGTGATACAAATAAAGAAAAGTCAATCCAAAACGTCATATATATGTGATATTTCATCATCAACTTGTGAGCATATATTTTTTAGAATCATATCTCAAATTAATCAAAGGAAATAGTATTAATCAATTATAACTAAGTAACAAATTTTGTTTAAAAAACGCACACCCAATTTTTATAAGAATTAAATACAAATTAAAAAACCAGTAGTCGATAAAACAACAAGTCGTTGTAGTATAGTGGTGAGTATTCCCGCCTGTCACGCGGGTGACCCGGGTTCGATCCCCGGCAGCGGCGTGTTTTCCACATTTTTTATGTAAACATTTCATTTTGATGGAATATATCTTCTTTTTTTTCCTTACTATTGAATATAGATAGGATAACATTGTGTGTTCTCAAATGCTTACTACATAGATAAGTTAATATTGCGTGTTCTCAAACACTTACATAGATAGGTTAATATTATAAATTGGTCTGGTTTGATTATAAAATATTTTGTAAAAGAAGTTAAAAAACATTCTGACCTGCCGGACGCTTAATATTGTGTGTTCCCAAACGCTTACTATCTAGATAGGTTTATAATATAAATCCGGCTCGATTATAAAATGTTTCGTAAAAAAAAAATTAGAAAGTAATTCCGACCTGCCGGATTCGAACCAGCGACCTAAGGATTCCAGCAACAACTACAGTCCTCCGCTCTACCAACTGAGCTAAGGTCGGTTTTGTTTCTGATTTGGCTCATAATAATATACATAATCTTTTTTTTCCAATAATTTATTAGGAGAATTATACCAATAGACCCCTCCCCCAATAGAAAAATTGACATGAATATACTACCAAAAAATTATAAGATTTTCAATATCATATCGCTTTAGATGCGATCCTTTTTTTAAAATTTTATTCGAACACGAAATGTTTTGTACATCAAAATTGTTATCTTTTAAGTAATCTGAAGTTATTCGTGTTAAATGAAGTAGTAAGTCTTGTTCTAACGTATAATATGCCTTCTATCTCATTCTATGTTAATATGTGTTTGACAGGCCCAAAATTTGGAAAAGAAATTAAAGTTTTTTTTTTTTAAAAAAAGAAGATCTAGTTTAACTATGCCATAGATTCATATCATTGATGTTAAAATAAAAAATTTAAAATTAAATTATTTTTAATATACATAAAATATACAAACAGAATTCCATAAACATCTTACTATTTTCACTTAATACCATATTTTGTATATATAAGAGAGATGTTAATATCATGACATGCGTCTAACTTATATATCATGCATTGCGCTTTCACCACTAATACCACACTTATCTACAAGTTAAAAAGGGTAATTTAATTTCCTATTTGGTCAAATAATTAATAGAGGCAAGTTTCTTTATGTAATACCAAGTGGCCAAAAAACAACAAATCTTCCTATATTATCTACTGTCCTCAAATTTGTTTTTGTGGAATTTTGATTACTACTAACAAGTGACTGGTTCACCTCTAATAATATTACTTTCAAATCTTCACCAAACAATGAGCTTGGTTTGTTATTTTCTCTTAATGAAGGCATTTCTCTTGTTGCCTTCTCTTTCTACTCCGGCGATGATTGATGAGAGAAGGCATATACAAGAGGAAAAAAGTAAGAGTAATTCAAACTACTACGAAAAGAAATAAAAGAAAAGGTGATTATTGAAAGTGTAGTGATAAAATGAATGACTTATTCTCTCCTTCGCTTAAAAAGTATCAGGACCTAAAACAACAGATCCAGATGGATGATTTGGAATTAGGGACTGGGGGCACCGGTCCTTCTCAGAACGAAAGCATTGATCTTGCTAAGTTCTTCGAAGATGTAGAGAATGTGAAAGAGGATATGAAGGAGGTTGAGAACTTACATAAACGATTGCAAGAATCAAATGAAGAGAGCAAAACCGTCCATAGTGCACAAAAAGTAAAGGATATTAGGGCTCGAATGGACTCTGATGTGACACTTGTTTTGAAACGTGTCAAGATCATCAAAGGAAAACTTGAAGGCTTAGAAAGATCAAATGTAGCAAATAGGAAGAACATGGGTTGTGGTCCAGGATCCTCTGCTGATCGAACAAGGACTTCCGTAGTTAGTGGTTTAGGGAAGAAACTAAAAGTTCTCATGGATGATTTTCAAGCATTGAGAGCGAAGATGAATTCAGAATACAAGGATACTGTGGCAAGAAGGTACTATTAGAAAGGTTTTCCCTTTGTTCATTCCTTTTATGACTATAATAATATAGATAATAGGTACAATAAAACAAATGTGATATGACACAACCTAATTCTTTTCACCCTGTCTATTCATCTATATTTTCTCAACTCGATATTTAGAAATGTCTCTTTGTCCATAAATATTGATATCATATCAATATCCATTTCTCAATATGATTACTTCATTATGTCTTCAACAGGTACTTCACCGTAACAGGAGAGAATGCAGATGATGAACTTATAGATAATTTAATATCAAGTGGAGAGAGCGAGTCGTTCCTCCAAAAGGCTATTCAAGAACAAGGAAGAGGACAAATTATGGACACAATTTCAGAAATTCAAGAAAGACATGATGCTGTGAAGGAAATTGAGAAGAATTTGATTGAACTACACCAAATTTTCCTAGACATGGCTGCACTAGTAGAAGCACAAGGACAACAATTGAATGATATAGAGAGTCATGTGGCACATGCAAGTTCATTTGTTAGAAGAGGAACAGAACAACTCACAGAGGCTAGGGAGTTGCAAAAAAGTTCAAGAAAATGTACTTGCATTGCTATTCTCCTTATCATTCTTCTTATTATTGTACTAACTTTTCCACTTTGGTCACCATTAATTACTAGTAGGTTGTAGAAAATATTCAAAATTAAACACAAGAGAGACCTTTTGAAAATATTTTTCTTGTAAGAATTTTTATTTTATTTTAGTCATTGTCATCTCACCTTTTTTTTTTGTTACAATACTTATACTTATAGAAGTAAATACTTATGTCTTGTTAATGGGTTCCCTCATTTTGTACATATATATTATAATGCTTAAATTAATGTGTATAAAAAATGTGTAGTTAGAGAACACACTAACAAACAATACCATTTGTTTGATTGCAGACAGTGAAGTACACAAGATTTTATGCAAATCAATATCGACTTATTATCGTATTATATATGTTCTTTGATTAAAAAAAAAAAAAGAGAGTTATATATGTTCAATTAGAGTTTTTGGATAAAATCATTCTTCAACTATGACCTAAACCTAGTGTATATGAGTGAACAAAAAACATCCTTGCACTATCCAAAAAGTTGCAAGATTCATCCTTCTGTCTATTTTTTAAGAAACTCACGCCATCAACAAAAAAATGTGTCACGTCGAATGAATATATGTGCACATGGTTAAGCTAGTCAAGTTGGGTGATTTTTTTAATTTATAGAAATTGAGGGTTTAAATCATCTTTAGATAAAATATATTCAAATTCTAAATATTCTTTGTAAAAAATATGACCAAATACAACTCCAACTTCAAAAATTTCATATAAAGTAATTATTATTTAATTTCCACAACAAAACGCCTACATAATTTCACTAAATTTCCAGTATTTCTGTATATTGTATAAAATGTGAATTGCATTGTATATATAATATATACGTACTATATATATATATATATATATATATATATATATATATATATATATATTTTATTAGAGAAAATCTCTAAATAGTTGCACGTAATATTTTTAAAATGAATTTTTTACATAATCTTTCTAACCATCGGAATCTACTGTATAAATATTTCAAAACTTATGTATTGTTGCAAGTCAATTTATTTGATGATGCAAAAACATATAAACTAACAACACACAAAATTTAAATTATGAGAATAAAATATTCATTTTCTATCCATATTCTTATTCTTTTTAGGTAACTTTGATCTTCTTGTCGTGGCTAAGACATGACCAAATTAATAAAAATAAAAATTATTGGTTCAATGAGTTTCTTTTTTTAAAAAAAATAGAATGAAGGATGATTCTTGTTATTTTTTGGATAGTAAAGAATGTTTTTTGCTCACTTAGATAATATAAAAATGTACATTAGATTTGAGTCATAGTTAAGGAATGATTTTAGCCAAAAACTCGTTCAATTATGTACGATTGTCGGACCCTTTTCTTAGAGTCAAGCGATTTTTAGGTTTTGTCCTCGTTCCTCTCTTTCTATTAGGACACGAGAAAATATGTAAACACAACTCTTTATGATTTGAATGAAAAAAAGATAATCTTGTAGCTATCTCATATATTCAATAATATTTCCTTCATTCATTTTTAATTGTGATGTTTTGATTTTGAAAAATCAAATCATATGAATTCTGATAATCAACATTTTAAGATGTATATTTTCGTCATTGATCAAAAGATTTTGCAATTTAGCTTCGAAATTAACCAAGTTGACTTTCTTAAGAGCGAACCAATCTTATAAAAGGCCATCGGAGAAGCGCTAAATTTAAAAAATTCTTCTTCAGATAGTGTCAATGTTCTTGAAATTATTTGTTCATCGCCATTACAGCTCTGTTACTTTCTTCACAAATCCTCCGTCTAAAGAATCAGAAATTATCCATCTTTGCAGGTCAGGTTTACTCTCTCAAGCTATAAAGCTTCTCAAAACCACAGAAAAAATCTCCTCAAAACCAATCGTATATGCTACATTGATACAGACATGTACTAAATCTCACTCATTCAATCATGGGGTTCAATTCCATACCCATGTCATCAAAACTGGGCTCGAAACGGATCGTTTCGTTGGGAACAGCTTACTTGCTCTCTACTTCAAATTGGGTTCAAAATTTCTTGAAACTCGGAGGTTCTTTGAAGGAATGGTGTATAAGGATGTTGTTGCTTGGTCTTCGATGATAACGGGGTATGTTCGTATTGGGAAGCCTAAGATTTCACTGGAATTGTATGGGGAAATGATTGATTTAGGTTTTGAGCCAAATGGGTTCACTTTGTCTGCTGTGATTAAAGCTTGTTCTGAGATTGGGAAGTTGAAATTAGGGAGTGGATTTCATGGGGTTGTGATTAGCCGTGGATTTGAAGAGAATAATGTGATTGTGAGTGCGTTAATTGATATGTATGGTAAGAATTATGCATCAGGAGATGCACTTAAGCTGTTTGATGAATTGCCTGAACCAGATGCTGTTTGTTGGACTTCAGTTATTTCCGCTCTCACGAGGAACGAATTGCACGAGGAGGCTTTGGGGTTCTTTTATACAATGCATAGGAAGAATGGGTTGGCCCCGGATTTGTTTACGTTTGGAAGTGTGCTGACTGCATTGGGTAATTCTGGTAGGACGAGGCAAGGTAGAGAGGTTCATGCTAAGATTGTGACTGCTGGTCTTTGCGGGAATGTGGTTGTCGATAGTAGTTTAGTGGATATGTATGCAAAATGCGGGGTGGTTGATGAGTCTCAGCATGTTTTTGACCGAATGGATAAGAGGAATTCTGTTTCGTGGTGTGCGTTAATGGGTGGCTACTGCCAAAAGGGTGAGTTTGACATTGTTATTGAGCTCTTTAGGACGATGGGGGAGGTTGATCTTTACAGCTTTGGGACTGTTCTTCGTGCCTGTGCAGGGTTGGCAGCGTTGAAGTCAGGGAAGGAAGTTCACTGCCAGTATTTGAGGAGAGGTGGCTGGAGTGATGTTATCGTGGAATCAGCTCTAGTTGATCTCTATGCAAAATGTGGCTTTGATAATTATGCCTATGTGATATTTCGCCAAATGAATGTTAGGAACTCGGTTACCTGGAACTCAATGATATCTGGATTTGCTCAGAATGGGAAAGGCGCAGAAGCTATTGCAGTATTTGAGGAGATGATTAGCGAAGGGGTTAAGCCAGATTATATCAGCTTTATCGCGGTTCTTTTTGCTTGTAGTCATAGCGGTATGGTTGATGAAGGGCGAAAGTATTATCTCTCAATGATTAATGAGTATGGTATCAAAGCTCATATCGAGCATTATAGTTGCATGGTTGATCTTCTAGGTCGGGTTGGAGAGGTAGAAGAAGCTGAAAGCTTGATTCTAGGTGCGGAATTCAGAAACGATGCTTCCCTTTGGGCTACCCTACTTGGTGCTTGTACTAGCAGTACAAATCCTACTGTTGCAGAGCGAATTGCAAAGAAAATGATGGAACTAAATCCTGATTATCATTTAAGTTATGTTCTTCTAGCAAATGTGTACAGAGCAGTAGGCCGGTGGGCTGATGCTCTTGAGATTCGGCGACAGATGCAAGAAAAAAGAGTGAATAAGATAACCGGGAAGAGCTGGATTTAAACAAGTACTGACAAGCCTTTTCAGTAAAGAGCTCTATCAGGACACCTCTACAAAGAAACATTCCTGCAAAATGCTCAAGCTGACAATGCAGATACATAGCTCATAGCACATTTATCAATTTTGTTCCTGTCAGGGTGACCCTTGTTTCGAGATGCAACTTGTATTCCTCTCGTGTATGGGTGACCCTTGTTTCGAGATGCAACTTGTATTCCTCTCGTGTATGGGTGACCCTTGTTTCGAGATGCAACTTGTATTCCTCTCGTGTATGGGTGACCCTTGTTTCGAGATGCAACTTGTATTCCTCTCGTGTATGGGTGACCCTTGTTTCGAGATGCAACTTGTATTCCTCTCGTGTATGGGTGACCCTTGTTTCGAGATGCAACTTGTATTCCTCTCGTGTATGGGTGACCCTTGTTTCGAGATGCAACTTGTATTCCTCTCGTGTATGGGTGACCCTTGTTTCGAGATGCAACTTGTATTCCTCTCGTGTATGGGTCCTTTGACCGGGTAAGCTTGCAGAGTTGCAGTACGAGAACTATTTATCAGAGTATCTAGCAATTAGCATTACAAACGCGTACAAGGCCCTTGTAACAAGGGGGATATAGAAACTTCATAGCTCAAAGGGTTCTAGTGACACAAGCCTTTTAACAATATTAGCTAGGTGGTGAAATCAAACCCAACCCGTCCAATCCGACCCAACTCATTTAGGTTTGGGTTGGTTATTGGTCCGCCCATTTGTTAGCTAAATTAAGTTGATATGTAACCCAAATTGATTTTTGAGAAATTTTGTCATGATATTTTTTTTTTGATTTTATATGTTATATATAGTTATAAAAAAGAAAGATTTATTTTTATTAGGTACTAAAAGCTTATAAAATAATAAAGAGTAAAGGGTTAAAAGTAGCCTCAACTTATTAGAAATGGTTTAAAAATGCTCCACTTCCACCTATTGGCTTTAAAATGTCCTTAACGTTTTTTTTAAGTTCAAAAATACCCTAAAGTTAACATAAATATGACATGGAATTTAACTAAACAAATGGTCAATTGTTTTTTGGCCAAGTTAAGTGCTGCAAATTAACTGATGTTTTTGGAATTGAATGTTGTTTTATAAAGAAAGGAACAGATGGAGAAGAAAGAACAGAGAAAAGCTTAAAATTGTCGGTGAAAACGGGTTTGGGTATTGAGTGGGATGAGGCTTTTGTATTTGATTAAAAAGTTATGACCAAATGAAATATGGATTTCTTTAGTTAATTTTATGTCATATTTCTGTTAATTAAACGGTATTTGAAAATTTAAAAAAATGTTAAGGGAATTTTTAAAACTAATGGATGGAAGGATGACATTTTTGAACCAATTTTAATAGGCTAAGGGCATTTTTTCCCCTTTTCCGAATAATAAATAAAGCTATTAAAACTTAATAAAAATTGAGCGGGTTGGGTTATGACACGTTACTTAACCCGTTTTGATAAAAATTGAGCGAATTGGGTTATGACACGTTACTAATCCGTTACTTAACCCGTTTTGATCCAACTCATTTT